TGTATTAAATGATAATCATATAATTAATTAATTATAATCCGCCCAATCTTCAAGTGGAAATGCCACTTGGCAGCATTTCCAGTGTGTGTTCAAGTCATGGCATCCGGCCAAGCAACTTCACTGCAGCTTCGGAGGTTCTTACTCCGTTCCTTAGCCACTGCAGAGGCAAAATATCGAGCTCAGCTCGGCGAAAGATCGATGAAGTGGGTCAAACATCCTCTTGCTTCATCCCTTCTCGCCGCGACGTGGACGTGGGACCCACGTCCACAAAATGTAGTGACCATGGTTTGCAAGCCCCGTCTTAGATCACGAGAGATACTCCTTCGTCAGTTGATTGACATTGGTATTACATCATCCTAGTAACGAAACCCAAAGAAATACTGTACTTTAAAACAATTATTCACAACCACCCTCTAGTAAACTAACATAACTATGGGAAATCATCATGTTTAATGAGTAAATCCACTATGAATGGCCATTTTCAACAGCTATGTCAGTTTACCGGAGGGTATTTTATTAGATTTTAGTAACATGTTTCTTTGTCTATCTTTTTGGAGACTGCTACAACACCCTAAAGCCTAAAGGGTTCCCTTCGGGGAACACTGCTGATCTCCCCACACAGTCGAATCGTGTCACCAAGGCTCTTTTTCAGCGCGCTTTGGAGCTCAGCTAATTCAGTGCAGCCAGCAGTTTTCAAATCCATCGAGTCTAATGACTGTCCTGCAGGGCCCCCGGCTTCATGATGCTCATGAGGACACCACTTGGAAATGGACAATTCTTGAAGCTCTGGTAAATTCTGGTAATTAACTTCACAGTCGTTTGGTGCTTTTTTGGGGATGTCCAAGTGTTTTTCGCTGGAAAACCAGTTTCTGGGAAATATTGCACGGTTTCAGCACCATAAATACATATTGAAGCAAGAAACAGAAACACACATAAATCTATCCGACTCTTTAATTAGTGGATCTGGTGGTCAAAAATCTTGACCGACAGCCACATTAGCGCAGGAAAGGAAGCCTCCAGACTTGGGCCTCCTATACAACCACGTCCTATGAGACTAGCCCTTCGAGTCAGCGGAGGGGTCGAACCCTCCAATAGGATCGCATATTTTTTTGTAAATGCATTGCTTTCCTTTTCCTTCACAAGATTGTCATGTGTTGCTGCTCTGGTTGATTAGAACTCCGCAATTCCCGATGGTTTCCCAACGCAAATGGTTTACCAACAAATGTTGTTTGCTCAACTTACTTTACCAAAAAACATGTACTTGCGCGACATGGTTCGATATGTTTGCCAAACAATATGTAATATCATATGTAGTTATATATATATATATCTATCTACTCAAAGATACTCAAAGTGTTTTGCCAAACTTTACCTCAAGAAAAATGCCGTTCCCATGGCCACTTGCGCTAGCACCGGTTTCACCAAGAAACTCAGCTTCTCAGCGTTGTGCGGAGGCATCTCAGTCTCGTCCTGGAGAGTCTCTCTCCGCAGCTGCGCATATTTGATATTTATATGTGCATACGATTAATGCAATAAGAAGATCATGTGTATATATATATATATATATACGATTATATAGGTATATGCATGTACATATATATATATACACTATACACATACAATTATATGTAAATAGGTGCGTGTGTGACACTTGTTGCTAATCAACTTATACCGACTTGCTATATATTACAATAGATAGACTAGCAGTACTCGAAGGGGTGAGGCGGGGTTACAGGGGCTGGGTCATAAACAAATGTGTGTTGATTCGTATGGCATACGTTGGGTACAAACATTGCTAGCAACCCTACGTACCCCAAATTGTCTCCCGGGTTTCAGCAACATGGTAGTACAAGCACAGGGGACTGGGGTGGATATCTTGGGGTTTCACTACCATCTACCATCTGGAAAACTAACATACAGTAGCTATGGAAAATCACTATTTTTAATGGGTAAATCCACTATAAATCGTGATTTTCAATAGCTATGTTAGTTTACCAGAGGGTACATATATCTGGCCAAATTACTTTAATTCTTACCTCGTCTCCCTCGTGTCTTAATTTGTTCCCCATGATTACTGTCCTCGTTCGTTAATTTGCAGGTGCAAATTAAGGCTTTACCTCGTTAATTCGAAGGAAGAAAGTAGCTTGTGGGCCTTCTTTCCAGGGTCCAACCCCAAGGAAAAAAACTTTTCAGCTTCCGAAAAGTTTTTTTCCACGATCCACGGTCTCTTGCAGGGATTTTTAAGTCTGAGTCTGATCGGTCTGTGCGCTTCTTGCGCTTGGGTGGTGACATCTCTGACATTATCGCAGAGATGCAATGCTCTTCTGGAGCAACTCTGAATCCTACTGCTTCTGCAGCCGTCAACCCACGAAGCGCTGGCGATAGAAAATAAAACTTTTTGGGGCCTGAAAAGTTTTTTTTCCTTCCTTGCCTGCTGACCGGCCTCTGGCGATAGAAAATAAAACTTTTTGGGGCCTGAAAAGTTTTTTTCCTTCCTTGCCTGCTGACCGGCCTCTGGCGATAGAAAATAAAACTTTTTGGGGCCTGAAAAGTTTTTTTTCCTTCCTTGCCTGCTGACCGGCCTCTGGCGATAGAAAATAAAACTTTTTGGGGCCTGAAAAGTTTTTTTCTTCCTTGCCTGCTGACCGGCCTCTGGCGATAGAAAATAAAACTTTTGGGGCCTTTTTTTTTCCTTCCTTGCCTGCTGACCGGCCTCTGGCGATAGAAAATAAAACTTTTTGGGGCCTGAAAAGTTTTTTTTCCTTCCTTGCCTGCTGACCGGCCTCTGGCGATAGAAAATAAAACTTTTTGGGGCCTGAAAAGTTTTTTTCCTTCCTTGCCTGCTGACCGGCCTCTGGCGATAGAAAATAAAACTTTTTGGGGCCTGAAAAGTGTTTTTTTCCTTCCTTGCCTGCTGACCGGCCTCTGGCGATAGAAAATAAAACTTTTTGGGGCCTGAAAAGTTTTTTTTCCTTCCTTGCCTGCTGACCGGCCTCTGGCGATAGAAAATAAAACTTTTTGGGGCCTGAAAAGTTTTTTTTCCTTCCTTGCCTGCTGACCGGCCTCTGGCGATAGAAAATAAAACTTTTTGGGGCCTGAAAAGTTTTTTTTCCTTCCTTGCCTGCTGACCGGCCTCTGGCGATAGAAAATAAAACTTTTTGGGGCCTGAAAAGTTTTTTTTCCTTCCTTGCCTGCTGACCGGCCTCTGGCGATAGAAAATAAAACTTTTTGGGGCCTGAAAAGTTTTTTTTCCTTCCTTGCCTGCTGACCGGCCTCTGGCGATAGAAAATAAAACTTTTTGGGGCCTGAAAAGTTTTTTTCCTTCCTTGCCTGCTGACCGGCCTCTGGCGATAGAAAATAAAACTTTTTGGGGCCTGAAAAGTTTTTTTTCCTTCCTTGCCTGCTGACCGGCCTCTGGCGATAGAAAATAAAACTTTTTGGGGCCTGAAAAGTTTTTTTTCCTTCCTTGCCTGCTGCCCGGCCTCTGGCGAAAAATTTTTCTTTTTGGGGCCTGAAAAGTTTTTTTTCCTTCCTTGCCTGCTGACCGGCCTCTGGCGATAGAAAATAAAACTTTTTGGGGCCTGAAAAGTTTTTTTTCCTTCCTTGCCTGCTGACCGGCCTCTGGCGATAGAAAATAAAACTTTTTGGGGCCTGAAAAGTTTTTTTTCCTTCCTTGCCTGCTGACCGGCCTCTGGCGATAGAAAATAAAACTTTTTGGGGCCTGAAAAGTTTTTTTTCCTTCCTTGCCTGCTGACCGGCCTCTGGCGATAGAAAATAAAACTTTTTGGGGCCTGAAAAGTTTTTTTTCCTTCCTTGCCTGCTGACCGGCCTCTGGCGATAGAAAATAAAACTTTTGGGGCCTGAAAAGTTTTTTTTCCTTCCTTGCCTGCTGACCGGCCTCTGGCGATAGAAAATAAAACTTTTTGGGGCCTGAAAAGTTTTTTTTTCCTTCCTTGCCTGCTGACCGGCCTCTGGCGATAGAAAATAAAACTTTTTGGGGCCTGAAAAGTTTTTTTTCCTTCCTTGCCTGCTGACCGGCCTCTGGCCCCCAAAAAAGTTTTTCTAGCCAAGCCCAAGCATGCAACAGAACCAATGCAAGGCTACCTCGTCGAGGTCGGCTAATTCTGATGAGCAAATTAAGGGCTGACCTCGCTAATTCCTGCAACCTGCCTCGTTGCCTCGGCTGTCCTCGCTATAATTTGTGCAGATATATGAATGTAGTATAATATTATATGTACTTATCACTTATCTAATATCTGGCAATTCCAAGGCAACAGAAAATCAGTTGTCAAATCCCGGGATAGAAAGATTTCAGCTCCAAACACCCAAAGAGAGGATTGGAAAGGATCAGAAAAACCGGTTCGATCGCACACAATTATCCATCCCACCTAGCATTTTACACGAACGTAATGTTTCATCCTTCAACATCTCTTCTATTCTTGTAGTTTCATCGGTTTCATATTGGGTTGCGGTACCAACTCGCAAAGATCCAGCAGCGAAAAAAATAAACAACACGAACCACGCCAGCCTTCGGATGTCTTCGGTCCTTGTGCTTTCCATTTCCATTGGCTTGTAGGATCTTTTGGAGTTCCCAGGCTAAGGCATCTTTGGACCAAAGGCTGCCTTTTTCGGACATGGCTCAGAAATTCATGGGGACAAGTTGGGGCTGGGACCCCAAAAATTCCCGAAATTAAAGTGTTTGATAAATCATATTCATGCCAACCCTGAATTCATAAATCCCTATAGGCGTTTTTGTTGGTTTTTCCATTTCAGTATCAAACTATCACTATTTAAAAGGTATCCCCCTAATTCATCAACCATGGGTTTCATCCCGGATTGATTAGTCAGTCTCCAGGCCGTTTCTTTCACTGAAGGGTTGATGGGTGGCTGTTTTTCTTTGTTTGTTTTAATCACTTCTTCAGAGGGATCCTTCAAATCAATGAACCTGGATTCGATAACATAGCGTTCGATGACAATGATCCACATCAAACGGCGAAAAAATGCCTTGGCTGCTGTATGACCCCGTGAAAGTAGCCATCCCTGGCCACGCGAAATCAGCTCAGGAGCCGTCCATCGAGACGTCCAGGTGTCCAAAATTCTTTGAGATGGCTTTCACGTCCTCCATGTCAATGATTTTGTTCCTGGGGAAGCCCCCCTGATGTCGAGGAGGAAGAGAAGATGAGGATGAGGATGTTTTGCAGTACTCAAACGGATGGATTCAAAACATTTCAAAACCATGACAAGATAAGATATGGTTTTTATTGTTTTTGTTCATCGGTTTATTCCATTGCTAAGCACCACCACTTAATCTGGGCTACCCATGGCACCAAATCTTGGCTGTTGAAAGCGGTTGTCAAACAAGTGGCCCCCAGATGGCCACGGAACCCGGCTCTTGCCCAGTGCGGCACCAAGCATCTGAACTAGCAAGAAGCAGCAAAACTCAAACTTGGAGATCCTCACATGACAACAAGGCCCACGCAGCCCACGCATCATCATGATTCGAATGACCATTGTCAATGGTTGAATCTGTAAACAGCACTGTTGAATATGTAACTACGCCATAGCCTGGCATTTAATGGCAGGGTCAGCCAATGCTTACTGTGACTGGTTGTTGGGGAATCTTTGCAAGGGCCTCTAGCAATCCCTTCCCCTAATTTCATGTTTCATAACTCCAAGCGAATCCCCTGTGTTTTCGCATCATTTTGGGCCAGATATCTACTATGACCTTGGCTAATATATCCCCAGTTACCAGTTGGTTCAAGCATGGTTTACCCCACCCAACCGCCTATGCTCCTCACCGGAGATGGGTGTTTGACCCATGTCATCCAATTCCTGGCGGCAAAGTATGGGTCAGATAGAAAGCTGAAAGTTATCAATCTAACGAGTTCAAAAGCTCAACATGAAGCCTATTGGAATTTGGATCTTAATAGTAGGGGATGATCTCTCAAGTCGGAGGATCCAGTGGGAGGGGTTGGAACTGATTTTTTTAGGATGTCTGACCTGCCTGCGCAAACTTTCTCATCTGCAGCAGCTTCGGAACGCTCAGAGAGGGAAGCCTCATTCTGCCAGTGCTGTCCGAGGCCACTTCTTTTGCGTTTCAGGCTTTTTTTTTCCGGCGGACGAACAAGAACAAATGATACACCAGGCTGTGCCCGAGTTTATTAGCTAAGTTGGTTTATAACTTCCAATAAGCACTGTATATAGGCTAGGCTTTGTGGGTGTTTATGTGTGTTTATGGTGCAGTAGATACTTAGATAGATTATATCATACTCTCGAGCAATGGGAGTGTTATAAACCAACAAACGCAGCTACGTAGCAGCACCCTCTATGGGTATTGCGACCCAGACCCAGGAAACGATGCTTTCAAGTTTCAAGTTCATTCATGGCACGTTCATGGCTGGTGTCCCAACAAAGTGGGAATATAGAAACATAGCTCAAAGTGCTCAAAAAAAGCCTCTCTATTCCGCAATTTATATAATATATATATAAAGGTCTGGCCCAAACCGCCCCTTTTTGCATTGGTAGGGTCACGATCTTAGCGGTGCTGTCCTCTTGCCATACGCGCCGCGGGTCTGCAATCGACTGGTTTCCTTTTTCACTTGTGGTTCCATTTGTGATCTGGTATTCATCGAACTGCCGACCTTTTCTGTTTTTGTGGTCCCAGACACATTAAAATCCTGGGTGATTGGGGTGAGCTCCCATTTCTGGCTGGCTCGTTGACAGTGATTTTCCTGTTTTTACGACACAGATTTGGCTTGTGGTATCCCCGTGACAACTTACAAATCTATTTGGTGCAATTCTTTCCCGCAGTAATTTTCTGTGGACGGGTTCTCAACTCTCTGCCTTAAGTTGACAATACAAATGGTCTTCCCCGACCTCACGCCTGGTTCTTGAGTTGCTTACATATGCCATTGACTTTGTTCTGGCTTTTTGTAATCATCAATCATCAAGAGCTCGCAGAAAAGGTCCCAGCGCAAGCTCAGAGCAAAGGCTCGACTGAACTGGCATCTTTTTCAAACCGGTCATATTCATTTGACGAGGAAGGAAATTTTGATTTTGAGACATCGGCTCAGTTCGCATCATTCGAAGGATCGACAATTTATCCAACGCATCAACAAAGAACTGATGGTGCAAGGAGATCCATGGAGATGTGTTTACTGCAAAAAGATTTCGAAGGCAAATGCCAATGGTTGCAATCAGTGCCTGATAGGATGGCAAGAATGTCAGGACACTACATTTGTTCCACCATCAAAGCAGCAGAAGTATTCGCAACAGCAGTCACAGTCTCAGTCCAGCTGGGATTGGAACAGCTGGGATTACTATCAAGAAGGAGATCTTACGCCAAGGACGCCAAAAGGATCCAAGGTGGAGTGGCAACAGCCCAAATCCCCACGTCAAGGCAAAGGAAAGGGGAAAGGAAAAGGTACGCGGAAAGAGCAATGGAAAGGACAGTCAGCACACAATCAGCAGAAAGGACAAACAAAGGATCAAGGCAAAGACAAAGGAAAGGGTCGAGGAGCCAGCTCTCAAGGGAGCACAATGATACCTCCAGAGCCGCCCTGGACGCCTTCTCTGAGCAGTGCCACCAACCTTGCTCCATTGCCGCCGCCTACAGAGCCACCTCCAACCACAGAAGAAGGAGCCATGCTCAAGGAACTGCTGTCAGCCTTGAAGAAGTCTTCAGCAGAACAAGATCCAGAAGTCAAGGCGATCGTCCAAAGGTCCACACTGAAAGAAGGGCAAGGAGCTGCTCAAACGCTCTATTCAGCTGTGGACGATCTCACCATGGCCAGGGAGGCATTGGATTGTGCACGACTGGCCAGACACAATCTTCACATCAGATGGAGAAACTTTCTGACAGATGCGGTTGCACGGTGGCAAAAGCATACAACCGACTTTCAGAAAGAAGAGCAGGATTTGTCCGAACAAATCGAAGCAGCACGACAGGCCCTTGTACAGGCTGTCAAGAGGTTCGAAGAGTCCAAGACAGAACTGGGAGATCAAGCGGTTCATGTGGACGCCGAAGCTGCGATGAACGAGGATCCGGACAATATGGACAAGAACGCTGTGGGAATGGCATTGCAAGAAAGTCTGACGACCATGTCAGCTCAGCTGCAATCCCTGCAGGCCTCAGCGGAGGCAATGGTCACAGAAGAGGCAAACTCAAACAAACGTCAGCGGACGGATGGAGGGGATGGAAGAACATCATTTGCATCAGGCTCTGGAGTGCACGATGGATTGCCGTCTGCTACTGCGCCTGCAATGCAGCCATTTGCCGACCGACAGAAGCCTTTTATCCAGCCCGACAAGCAGTGACCGAAGGGTACACTTGTCTAGGGCTTGACCAGCATCCACTGATTCTCAAGTGGACCCACAGGGCATGTAATGAACCATGGTTTGTCCCGGAATGGGAGGCCATTGAGCGCGCAAGTGAATTGTCTTGGGAGCTTGGTATCAGATCTGACAGAAGTTTTTCCACTGACAGAATGCAACAACCTACATGTGGGCGTGGTAGGCAGGTTCATTTCTCATCAGATGTTGAATTACGTTTCTGCGGAATTTCTGAACCAATCAGTGTTTCCATGAAGACCACAGAACAGTTTATCAAGCAATGGCCTCAAAAGCCATGGAGTTTACATTTACCAAAACCCAATCAGAATGTTTGTGGGAATTCCTTGGAACCGCTGTCCTCAGGGGCCGTGTTGATCCGGAAGGACCACAGCTTGCCGGCATTTGCCCATTTCAGAACAACTGATGAATTCCACAATGTTCCTTCAACATGGTTTGCGCAAGACAATACAAATGGTCTTGAACAAGACGATCAAGATGATGAGCTGCAACATTTCCTCCATGAAGAACCTGAATCAATACAAATCCTTTTTGATGCCTTCTTGCGAGAGGGGCTCATCATTGGGCCTAGTCTCACTGAGAGCGTATTCCTGAGATCATGGCATATTGACCACCTCAGAGAACATCGCTGTTGGCACTATAGGATGATTGAATTGAATGGACACTGGAGGACTTGGTTCACTGACATCCTTTCTGCGTGGCGAGACAAAAATGATCCGAATGAGGATACGATTTTTAGCATCGTATATCCCAATCCGCCGAGAAGTATCGCTGCCAGGAGGGGTGTGTGGGATGAAATCCTTTTTGACATCATCATTGCACAAGGGCTTGAGGCTCCACGCAAAGCAGGCCTTATTTCTGTGCTGCAACGTGATGACCCAAATGGAAGGGTCCGTTATGCTCTTGCTGCATCCTTGCCGGAGGACCTTAGTGGATATCAAATTGTGCAAAGCAGTGAAATTCTACATGAATGTAATACTTTCACATGCACTATCAAACATGGAATGATGACAATACCTTTCACGATGGCACCAGTTCATCTCATGCAAGATGGTGACTCTTTCACGGTTGCTAGTCGCACTGGTGCAACTGGCGGTGGAGCCTCCAGTAGCTCATTGCCTCACAGTGCCGCTGCCATGAGTGCTGACGAAGCAATGAATCCCGAAAGCGGTGAAGAGGAACCTGAGGAATCTGACAACCCAGCCTTGCAGTCAGATCAATCAGAATCGGACAGTTTGCAAGGTGTGCACATTTTCAGATTGGGACACCAGCAAGTCTTCAATCGTTTGAGATGGGACACTGCAGATCACATTTTGCAAGACGCGGCACGGTCTGTGAATGTGCCGCCTGCACATTGTGTGTGTGTTTCCATTACTTGCAAGCATGTCCAGATGATCAGGAAGTGCAACAAGAAGCCATCATTCTCCAACATATCAACGACATTGCGCCAGGATCTACCGAAAAACTGATTCTCATGGATATTGAGATGCATGCGGCAGGTTTGACAGGTGGCAGCAATCTCCAAGCACCACGCATCTTGAGGCAGATTCACAAAGTGGTACCAGTACTAACCAGAACACAATTCCTGCACATTGCCAGGGTCTCGGCATATTGTGAATGGATGGTGAACGGATGTTTTGTTTTCTGTAACAGGGTTCTGTGGACTTCACAGGACCAAGGGCCACGTAGAACCACACATGGCATGTACATCAGAATCATCATACCACCGCCACCAGATGTTTCGTGGGAACTGGCATACACCTTGCGTGTTTTTGAAGACACTGCAGATTTGATCGGAAAACCAGAAGCTTTTCGACTTGCTGCTGAAATCTTGCAAAGCACCTATGCTCAGCCTGCGGGTGTTTCAGAGGCTAATAGCCCACCAACCGCCATGCATGTCCCATGTCAGCACAAAGGTGCGGACCTAGGACCCTATGACATTGATGTGCCAATCACAAACCCACCCAGGGCTTACCAGAGACGCCTAAGACCAGAACATGATGGAACGTTGCAGTGGTTGTTGGACCTCGGGCAAATTTTTGCAGACCAGGCACAAGAAGAAGCATTTGTGGATGAACCCATGCTTTACGTTCAAACTTGGTTTGTCAATCATTTGCATCATCCATCCTGTCGTGTGCCTCGACCACTGAGATTGGAAAGGTATTCCATCACATGGATTGATGATTTCCGACAGTTGTGGTCTGACGTCTTGAGAAGAAATGAAGTGTTCTCCTTGCGTGTTGTGAGACCAAATCCTCCGCAGCCCAGAACCTGGAACTATGCATGTCATGTCATTGTTGAGCAGTCCGTACATGCCCATCGGGCGGCAGGTATTCTGACGGCATTGATTGAAGGAGATCGAATTGATGCAATCAATCAAGGTGCTTTTTCTCTCCCAACCACCATTCGTAGACAGACCATCATTGACACGCTGGAAATTGAACCTCTTTGTGAAGGACGAATATGCACGGCTACCTGGGGGAATGTGCCGATTCAATTGATTGAAGCAACTGAAATCACCTCAGGGTGTAGCCTACGCATTCGTGTACGCTCACCGGAAAATCAGTTACCTATTGCACCAGGTACACAGGACCCTCATTTTGAAGATATGGTTCTTCTCCAGCAGCAGAGTGATGAAGTTATTTTAATGCAGCACTCTAGCCAAATTGAACAGCATGGGACGCAACTGCCTGCGCAAACTGGTGAGTGCCAAGCTTTTGCCATGGATCCCCAAGCCCCGGAGTTCCGACCGGGAGCATGGAACATTGCAACACAGCCAGAACATATACAAGATTTGTATGCGCAATGGTCTCAGCGTGCATTTGCATGGACAGGTGAAATTGCGGCCAGTAATGTGGTCACGTGGCTTGTTGACCATCGTCATTTCCTCCATTGCTATGCAGGACGCACTGTCACGTTGTATGAAGATTTTGACAGCTGGGAACAGAGAATCAAGAACGCATGGCAGGACATGCTTGATCCCAATGCACAGCTTGAATTTCATACTGTCACACCATTGCCGCCTAGACTTGAACCGTATGTAGCTGCACATGTGGTACTTGTCCAAGCGCCACGAGAGGATTGGGTGACCTCTCTTGTTTCCATTTTCGATAGAGGAATGTATGGCCCTGAACCTCGCAGAGCTGCCATCACAACTCATGAACACATTCGCATTGAGCACCTCCTCCCTGCATGCAATTATGATCCGGTATGCTTGAATCCTCAGAATCAAGTGCACTGCCGAGCATGGTATGACCGTTTACCATTGCAGCCAGGATTTCGCTTGCCAGGTAGGTCTGGTTATGGAATCGTTGTTCATGTCCAAAGAAGGCCTGTGCCGGTTTATGTGCCTCCCATACCGCCGAATGTTGAAGGCCAGGTCCTGTTGCAAACCAGCATCAAGTGCAAATCCAAAACTATTTTGTGTCTTGATGACTGTATCTCTGCAGATTCTGATGAAATAGTGCCCATCACGATCATCGATGACAGCAGAGAAAGTGGTTTTCCATTGCAACTATTCCTGCAGGACCCCATTTGTGAAAATGCAATTGAAAAAGAACTAGCTATCATGGGATGGGCCAGACACGCATACCTACTGCAAGGAACAGGTTTTGCTTTCTGCGTCGCTTGTGATTGGCGGCCACCACCTGAGCAGTTCTGTTATGTTTATTACTCGCCCGGAAACTGGGACAGAGACTCAATCATTCTGCATAGCGAGCAAGCCCATGAAGATGCCAATCGTCATATGAAGGTGCTTCACTCTCTTGGTTTTTGCCGTGCAGTCATCATTGAAACGACCACAGTGCGAACCGGCCTTGTACTGGTTGAGTATCATAACAATGAACCTGCCCTCGCAGCACAAAGCATCCTGACCCGCAAGCAGACGCCTTGGCCAGCACCAATGCCTGTTATCCAGTCAAGACCTTTCTTTGTCTTCCAGGACTTTCAGGATGATGCACCAGAGCATTGTTTGGACCTTGGTATTGATCTGCAATCCCTCGAGAAGTTTTTCAGTACTGGAGATGATGTCTTATGTCAGTGGTATAGCCATCTGGACTTGCCGGAAGTCACTCTTCATGAAATCCAACACAGGATTGTGATCGCCACCGAAATGCCTGATCTCGAGAGTTTCGACCGTCTTGTCATCTATACGGATGGAAGCTCAAAAGCGCACAACAGACGCAAACCACCGCTGTGGATCCAAGAATTTGATGTACCCGATGCATGGGCGTATCTAGTCCTTGGTGAAAGATACAGAGCAGATGCGTCATTGCCTGAGATCACGCTTATTGGATGGCATGCACAATGTGTCACATATGAGGAAAATCTCAGTCATTATCTCGGCACTACTCAGGTAGGATCGGAACATGCCGAGAGAGAGGCCCTTTTCTGGGCAGCAATCTGGCAGTTATCCAGAAACATCACTGTACCCACTGTTTTCAGATCGGATTCGGTCACCACGGCCGAACAGGCTATGGGACGAGCTGGATGCAATGATGACAATCCAACATTTGAGGCACTAAGGAGTGTTTTCCAAGCTCTACAGGCGGCATTACCTCCTGACTGCTTAGATGCGCAGCATGTGAGGGGGCATGCAGGTGATCCTTGGAACGAAATGGCTGACTTTCTTGCGAAGTCTGAAGCAGTGCATGGGCACAAATTGAAACGGCAGCCGGTCAACATGCAGGAGTGGAAAACTGTGCTGCCATATCTGTGGATGCTTTTCGACAAATCTGCAGGTCTGCCAAGCTTCAAAGGACACGGTTTTGACGTGTGTCCTCCACAATTGCCGAAGCCAGAACCGCCGACACAAAATGCCCTCAACCAAACAAAGGTGATTCGACATCGCATGGCCATCAGTCTTGCAACATGCAATGTGAGTTCCCTGTACGCAGGACCAGAGGGTTTTGGTGGGAAACTCCATTTTCTGCGCCGGCAGATGTGTGACCTTAACCTAAATTTTCTAGGCATTCAGGAAGCACGAAGCCCAGCAGGCACATCCAGGGCTGATGATGTCATACGCCTTGCTAGTGGATGTGTTAAGGGCCAGCACGGGGTCGAATTGTGGATTAACACAAAACAGCCGATTGCCTATCGGCACAACAAGCCTTGTTTTGTGCAGATGACACATGTGCAGGTTGTCCATGCAGATCACAGAAGACTTTTAGTCCGCCTTGCCCATCCATGCATTGACTGCCATCTTTGTGTGTTGCACGCGCCACAGAGTGGCAGACCTTTGAGTGAACGCCGCGCATGGTGGGAGGAAACTCAACGCATCATGACTCAGTTTGTTTGTGAGTTGTCTTTGTATGTTTTCATGGATGCCAATGCGAAAACAGGTCCTTGCTGTGAACCTATTGTTTTTGCAAATGATGACTCATGTTCAGCAAACACTGTTTTCATGATGGAGTTTTTGAAAACCTTTGGACTATGCCTGCCATCCACCACAGCGCTGCATCGCGGTTCTCATGGCACATGGACTGCACCTGATGGTTGGACACAACATCGCATTGACTACATTGCAATACCGCAGAATGAACTTTGCTTTTGCATGCAGTCATGTAGCATTGACAACTTTGATACAGGAAATAGCCATGAAGACCATCAGGCAGTTGGTGTCCAGCTTCAATGGATTCAAGATCGCCAGACCTGTTTGTCCAAAGCCAAAATAGGAAAACATGACCGGAATGCAATCAAGGACCAAGAACACGTGATTGACCTTGCAGCAGTCCAGACATGTGCATGGCATGAGGACATTGAAACCCAGGTACAATCGTTGAATCAAGCCATTCATTGCACATTACAAGCAGCATGCCCAAGGCACAAACAGGGCAAGAAGAAGCAGTATTTGTCAGCTGAAATATGGGACTACCGGATTGACAAACTCCATTTGAGAAGACGCTTGCAGAATGCCCGACGTCAAGCCAGCTTGGATTCCATCCGACTTGTATTCTGGGCATGGAAAAATCAGGAGGCTGACACAGATAGTGTGGACGTGATTGTTAACTCTCATGTGGCTCACGCAAACACAGTCTTGTGCTCCATTTTCCAATTGAACTGCAGGTATTATCGTATTGCACGCATGTTGAGACGTGAGTTGCAGCAAGCAAAAACACGTCAACTGTCTCATGCTCTGGACCAGACATCGGAGGTCACACCAGCTGGCACATTACTGCAAACTTTGAAACCATTCATTGGGCCCACCAATTTGAAAAAACAAAAAAAGACAGGTTTGCCTGCAGTTCGAAAGCAAAATGGTGAGATCTGCACGACGCCTGAAGAGGCCCAGAACAGATGGATTGAATTCTTCAGCCACCTTGAAGGAGGCACCAGAATGGATCATGATACCTACCGTACCATTTGGAGACAGAACCTTGCAAAATTCCTTGTGACAGACCCGTTTTCCATTGCCATCAAGGAACTGCCAAGCCTTGCTGAACTTGAAATGGCGTACAGACGTGTGCCATTCGGCAAAGCAGTGGGAAATGATGGTATCCCACCGGAAGTCTGTCATGTGAAGGCACGTGATCTGGCCAGATTGACGTACGCAATTCTGATCAAAGTTTTTGTCTATGGACAAGAAGCAATTGAGCATAAAGGTGGCCGGTTAGCTGTCGCGTGGAAACATCGTGGAGATGTGCGTGACTGTGACACACACAGGTCACTTCTTGTTTCAAGTCACATGGGCAAAACCATTCACAGAGCATTGCGACAGAAACATCACAGTTTGTATACGGCATACATGCAAACCCAACAGCTTGGGGGACGCCCAAAAATTCCTGTGGGGATTCCGCTGCATTTATCAAGAGCTTTCATGCGATGGCAAGCTCGATTGCAACGACCCACTGCATGCATCTTTTTGGACTTAGCAGAAGCATTCTATCGTTTGATTCGCCCATTGGCTCTGGGGGGTGATCTTTCTGATGATGACATTGCGGTCATTGCAGCCAGGATTGGTCTTGGACATAATGCTCTGCACCAATTTCATGCACAACTTAAGGAACCTTCAGCTTTGCAGCAGGCTGGAGCGGCACCGGTTATCCAGAAGTTCCTTCAAGCCTTGCACAGCGACACATGGTTCCAAATCGGAACCCAAGATGATGTCGTGCGAACAGCAATCGGCTCTAGGCCCGGCGATTCGTTTGCTGACGTAGTGTTCGGCCTATTATGGGCCCAATTGCTCCGGCGTTACGAAGACCAGCTTGTCGCCCATGATGTCCTGGAAGTGATTCCTGTTCATGATTTGCCCAGCTTTGATGACCAAGTTGATGGGCCTCAGGTGAAGGTACCTTTTCTCGGGCCAACGTGGATGGATGATCTGAATGTCTGCATTGCCGCAGATTCCAACCTTGGCCTAGAAAGAAAAGCAGGGTTGGCCATGAGCTTGTTGCTTGACCAATGCCGTGAAATGCACATGGAACCCAATCTACGCAAAGGGAAAACAGAGATCATTTTCACATTCAGAGGCAGCAGATCCAGGGAGTTCAGAAGGAAATATTTTTCCAGTGCACAAGGCCTGACTGTAGTTGGTGAACATGAAACGGTGCAAGTTTCCGTTGTGAGCAGATATTTGCATTTGGGGGGTATTCTTCATCACCGTGACATTGACCGTGTTGAAGTGTCTCGCAGATTAGCTATTGCCCACCAAGCTTTCACGGCACACCGAAGGATCCTTTATCACAACGGCAAGATCCAATGGAAAAAGCGCCGTGAAATCTTTGTGACCTTAATTCTCAGCAAACTAGTATACGGCTTGGAATCATGGACGCTGAAGTCCCAAAAAGTGAAGATGCAATTCCACGGTGGTGTGATGAGCTTATACAGAAGGTTGTTGAAATTGCCTCATGACATGCACATCACGGATCTTCACCTCTTGACACGTGCAGGATTGCCATCACCTGGCGAATTGCTCCGGAGCAGTCGGTTGAGGTATTTTGGCACATTGCACCGATGCGGACGTGCGGCCAATTGGGGAGTTATTGCAGAAGACCATGACTGGATTGCGCTCATTCAAGATGACATTCAATGGCTCTGGTCCCAGGTCTCAAACACTACAGATTTGAAGGACCCTGTGGACCATTATCCAGTCTGGAAAGATCTGCTTACATTCCACAGTTCATACTGGAAGAAATTGGTCCGAAGAGGCATCGCCCATGCTATCGAGCAGAGAAACAATTATGTGATTGCGCTTGACTTCCACTGCAGTATTGGTAGCATTTTGCATGATCATGATTGGGTTGCTGAGTTGCCTGCAGATGACACTCGAACAGTTCCCAGTGAGGCATATGGATGCATGTGCTGCCAACAAAGATTTCTTACCCATGCTGGCGAAAGTGTCCACATGTTCAAAAAACATGGGCATGTAGCGCCAGCCAGATCCCTATTCGATGAAACGCACTGTCCAGCATGCCTCCGTGAATATCACACAAGAGCGAAGGTATTGGCACATCTTCGTCACGCTGACCGTTGTCGTCGTGCACTAATCGGTCAGCGCATGCAATGTGCCATTGTACCTGGCACTGGATCATCGATTGACCGTGAACTGGAGAATAGCATGGATGGCGCATTGCCTTTTCAACAAGCCTTTGGTCCCCAGCGTCCCAATGTGCGCCAGGCGGACTTTGATCAACATGACATCCGTTTACTGGAAGATCTGTATCTTGCCCTCCTGGAGGTCACAATCACCGATGACCTGGAGCAGGTCATAAGGACAGAGATTGGCAGACACCCTGTGGGCTGGACAGTTTGTCGTTGGACTTTGCAGCACTTTCTTGCCATTTTCACAGAGCAAGATGCAGAGGTCTTAGCATTTTCCTTTGACGCAGTTCGCCGTTGCATTGAGATCCTCACACGTGATGGTGCGTGGCCTTTTTTGCAGATGCAATGTGTCAGAGAGGGCAGTAGTGTGACCCAAGATATCAGTGTATGGGAAGCCTGGTTTGCAGAATTTGCATGTGAGCCCCCTGCACCATGGAAGCTCCTACAGCCAATGCCAAGATCGTTGAGCAAGCAGAAGATTATCCTTCATGCTTATGCCGGGAGGCGACGACGCGGGGACATTGAATGGTATGTTGATGCCATGGCCGCTCGTCATCCTAGCCATGTCATTCATGTGGCCTCGGTTGACATCGTGATTGATGCCACATATGGCGACATTTCCAGAGAACAGACACGATTTTATTGGATTGGTCATATTTTGCAAGGACACGTCATAGGATTTTTGGCGGGCCCGCCGTGCAATACCTGGAGCCGAGCACGACACCATGTTATTGCTGGCGTTAGAGGACCAAGAGTTGTCAGAACCCCTCAGGAGCCGTGGGGTAAGGAATCCTTGAGCTTGACCGAGCTCCAACATGTGAGCATCGGGAATCTATTGCTTGGATTTGCGCTTGTCTGCCTCACCGCCTTAGCCATGAGATCCGGCACGGGACTTGTTGAGCACCCCAAAGACCCCGAGAAAGATGAGATGGTGAGCATTTGGCGGCTGCCGGTTTTGCGTGCGATTTTACAGCTCCCAAATGTTCGCCTTGTCCATTTAGCTCAGGGGTTATTCGGCGCGCCTTCAGCAAAGCCGACGACGCTGATGGTGCTCGGAATGTCCACACTGGAAAAGTTCTTGCACGAGAACAGAGTGACACGCGAGATCCCGAACGGTGCCTCTGTGGGAAAGGATCAGTATGGCCAATTCAAGACATCTCCGCTGAAGGAATATCCTCCAGCTCTATGCAAGGCAGTAGCCGAAGCACTGTGCATGGACATTGTCAGCACGAAGTGCGACAACACAGAAGTGCCTGCTGATTTGGTCGAACGTTGTAAAGCTATGACCGGTCAGTTTTTCGGCACTTACATAGGCCCTGACAGCTAAGATCTGTGGGCTTCGCAGAATTCAGCAGATGCATCTGCCGCAGCGATGATCGCGACTACAGGCAGGGAGGAAAAAAATATATATATGTGTGTGTATATATATATATATATGTATATATATATATTTGGGAGCATGTGGGATACAATGGGATACCCAATAGTCACCAATGTCATTAAATGTTATATCTATCATCCAGTTTCCATCATTTTCCAGCAAGCACTGGTATTTCCCACCATCCCAGCCCTTTTCTTCTAATGTTTCAGCTGAGTGGCTGCTGCTTCACATGTCTTGTCCGCTCACCATAGATCAGTGCCACCAACTCTGCCATGGTGTTTCCTCAGCTCCCCCATGGCTTGTCCAAACATGGGGCGTGGCGAATATCGGCCATCCCCAACGCTGTCATCTTTCTTCATATGTAAGATATTACATTTACTTACCCTCTGGTAAACTAACATAGCTATTGAAAATTGCCATTTATAGTGAGTTTTCCCATTAAAAATGGTGATTTTCCATAGTTATGTTAGTTTACCAGATGGTATATTTTTTCAGTAGCTTGCCTAATATTGCCCATTACTGTCCATTATCATATACAGTAGTCAGTAGTAGCCATATTAGCTGTACACACACGTATGCAGTATCTCATCATATCTCATCTATATTTAATCACAATAGACAAGAGTTATAATGGCGATTCCTTTCAATGGGAGACCAACAAATAAATGGTCATCCCCAACTCATGGATCATTGACCAAATATGCTTATATATTGACCAAATAATGGTACCCTGCATATACACGTTGCCGGTCATAATTCTAGTTTCTACATCTCCCCTTTTTCAATCTGATTTTTAAGCCACGAAATGTCAACGAACACTTACCCTTCAGCAATAGATTCACCTGAAATACTTGGATTCTCCCATCGACCTGCAGCCTGGCCGCCAAAGATGGGAACGCCAAAGAGACAAAGAATGGACACGACCCACTTGCCGGAAGCTGTCCTAAGCGACCCAGGCCTGAGCCTAGCCCAAAACACAGACGCTGGTGCCCCAAGTGGCTTGAATCATTCAGTAGCTAATCAACTTTGTGGCCAAAATCCAAAACATGGGGGTAACAAAACTTAACGCCCAGAAGTGCAGAAGTGTGGTGATTGTTGGATATTTCGTTCCTCTCCCCTGTATTTCAAAAACGGATTTTGTGGGGTCGGAAAAGCTGAACCAAATCCGTTTCAGCCATCACCATTTTGGTCTCCAGTGCCAATATTTGCAGGACCCTTACACACGTTGTCCAGAAAACGAAAAACTTTCCCTTCCACTCAAAAAAAACAACGTTTCACCATTTGCAGGACCCTTTTGTCCACGTCTTCCGGGAAACAAAAACCCTCCTCTGACTGCAGGACACGCCCCTCCGCTCCAAGACATGATTTTCACCTTGACCCTTTGGCTCCCCTCCCTTTGCGAAAGCCAAGCATCACTGGAACCAAATCGCCGAAGCCCACCTGAAATCACGTGGAGCTAAATCAGCCACCTCTTCATGATCAAAATTGTTTAAGACCCACCAGGCAACGATAGCATCAGAGATCAATCAGGCCCCAGTGGGGGTGGGAGATCACCCTGAGAACATGTTTTCACCCAGGGCGCTGTTGTCAAAGTCACCACACTGAAGTATAAGGCCTGTGCGGAGCGATGTGCCGACCAGGATCTTTGACCCCAATGGACTAGTGGCCGCGTCCTGCTTCCAGATCCCCAGGTTTCCATGATCCAGGATCATTGGAAAGGTTTCTGGAAGTCTTCCATCTCAACAAATGGCTTTGTCAATTTGTCACTCTTATTCTTGGGGAACAAGTCCAAAATCCATCCAAATCCAGGTGAAAAACCTCCCTTTTCCCAATGAAAATGGGCTCCCCCCAAAATCTCGAACAGCGCCATCTCCCCCAGGGTTTCCTTGCCTGCCATGAGCTGGCTAAGCCCAAGGCATGCTTAGAGATACACGAGGCCAACAGCAAATAGGTGGTCAGCAGCTGCAGCTGCGCCCGAAAACCTAGCGCTGACGGTTCATGATTGGGCGAAGGATCATGTATCCATGAAACCTTATTCAATCCAACAGTTGGATTGTTGTTAATCATTTAACATCATTTAACCAGTCCAAAACAACGGACTAATCAACAAGGGGTTAACCAACAAGGGGTTAACCATCGAAAAAAAACGGGTTTAATATGTTTTAATCAAACTCAAGGGATGTATCATTAAATGGTGAATGTGGTAAACTGGTAGACCCAGTAATTACATGTAATTACCAGAAATCGCCAGTTGTGGATGGTTCGCATCGTGCATACAACTTCTTTACTGGTTGAGTTTGCCACATTACTATTGGTCGGGGGAGCTCATACATAGTATATAAGATACTATGATACTTATATATAATATATACTGTGTATATATATATATGTGTGTGTATGTATGTATGTATCATATATAAATTTAAATTATACAATATAATATAATATATACTATATCTGGCATCTTCGACTCAAGGACAAAGATGATTGTGCTTATTCTATGTTCGATGTGTTGTGAAGTTAATAATGCTTGTAGTATAGCAAGTCCCAAAAAGATCGAAGTATAATCCTACCGCGGCAAATGACATTTTTATTTATTTTATTTTGTGGTTTTAAGCATTATATTAATTCATGGTGGTTATGTCATCCCCACCTATAGGTGGGGGGGTCAAAAAATTAAGTTACAAAATCTGAAAGCTAAGGGATCACAGATCAAAATCAAAAGTGACATTTTCCCAAGTTACGAAGCCGCCGAGTTACGTTGTCGGATCTTCCGCCGCTGTCCTGTCAGCACTTGGCGTAAAAGGGTTGATGGTTTCAACCCAAACATATGCTCGTCAATTTTGGATAATCATCCCAAATAGGGCCGAGAATACAGAGTGTTTGAAACCACCAACCAGCCTCAAACATGGGAACTTATCAACGAAAATGATGGAGGTTTAATTGCAAGTTCATCCTGTTTATCATACCCTTGAGGCTTTAGTCTTTTTGAGGACTCCACGACTGGATGTAATGTTAGATGATGTTTCATCTTAAGTTGCTTAAAATCCGAAACCAACATTCATTGAAAAAAAAACGTTACATATGCGTTCACAGAAAATATATTCTAGGTTCGTTTATAACCTCCATGAACTAGTTCGATATATCATGATATATCTACCAAAAAGCCAATGGTTATTGGAGGTATGTTATGTTGTGCCAACTTGGCTAGCTACCTGGGTCACCACCTACCTAGCTGCTATTGCTGGCCTTCTTCGTCCATAATCTCCTCGTCGTCGCTCAAACTGAATGGACTCCTCATAGGGAGCTGGGGAACCCCAACTCTCACTGCGTTGATGTCGAGAATAAAATAATCTAGCATAATCTAGCGGATGTTTGACGATGTTCAGTTCTATTGCATGTGTTTTTTTATGTTTTCTATTGTAGTTTCTATCCTATACCATATATAGCGTTCTTACAAAAGTTTGGCTGTTAGATCCCGAAAGCCGGACTCCGCATAGACACATTCACATGCATCAATACCACAATCCTACACATAAGGAGATACAAGCAGCGCAAGACACTGAATATCAAGCATGTACAACTACTCTGAGTCAAAATCTAAGGCCTAGCAGCTTAGAGATTTGATCAATGCTTGTATAGATCATCGAATCATATAATTAGACATAATTAGACATAATTAGACATGGTATTTGCATGTATTTACCAATTCATACTGCACCATGAATCGGCTAAAGTGAGCAAACAGTACCTAATTATGAACAATTGGTAATCCACCAAGAAGCCCAAGGAAAATGGCGATGGAATGCTTCTCGTGAAATCACGTCGAATCAGTATTCCACTTGAAGATTCAATGGTTGATCCTACTACAAAGGTGGTCCCACATAGTTGCCTAAGTTGGTGTTTTTATGTGTTTTTAACAAATCAACTTGGATTTGTGGTACGTACATCTCTAGTTCACGCGGGCCTTTAAGGTTATAAGTTATAAGTTAAATCAAATTCACACCTGGTGAGGCACTGCGGCACTACTTTCGCCATTTCTTGGTTTTCAGAACCATCCCCCAGGGCCAGCTCCTGAGCTGTTGGATCAATCGCGTCTTGGCTTCGTTCGCCTCTTTCTCCACCAAGTAGGATAGGTAGCTACCTGTCACCCCGATTGCCAGACTTGTGGGAGAAAGTTTACAGCTCTCAAGTGTCTGGGATCATTTTGAAAGGTCAAATAACATGAATCATCAATGAATTTGCAGAGGTATAACATGGTATAACTCCCTTTGGTTGACTCACACTGGCAAATCAACCCCCTGAAGCCATGGAAAAGAAGCCTTCCAAATGCAAACGCACCGATTCAAGCAGATTCAAATAAGTAGTCCGTCAAACCTGGATTGCCAAACTTTGGTTGCTTCAATTTCGGGTGTTAACACGCGCAACAACCATGTTAACAAACTGCAGAAGAATTGGACAACCAAATTGTATATAAATAATATACCGTCAGTTTGCAATGCTCCAACCTTCAGCCAGCATAATCCTATCAAATCCTATAAAACAACCAGCCGACAGAGGTTTTGAGAAATGCTGAAGTCAACAAAGCTTCAAGGAGCATTCATCATCATGAATCCAGGGCTCAGATGGCGAACGATCAAGACCCTGGTAACTACCCTGGTGAACGTCTGAATATATGTCTGAATGTGACGCCAAAAACTGCCATGAAAGATCCAGACATATTTTGACACACCCCTAATTCTTCAGATCCCTCAACGCGGCTTCATGCCGGCAGCTGATGCATGCCAAGCAGCTCAGGCGGGTAGCCAGGAGCACCAAGGCCACTAAAATGGCAAAGGAAAAGAAGATGCCTCAGGAGGTCGGATGCTCAGCGAAATCCAAATCCGTTGCATGGATTTCGAAGAATCATCAAACCGCCCTTGTATCCTTTGCCGAAGTGAAGAGATTGAGCATTAACTCGAGGGGGATTGTTGGTGCTGTTTCTAGCTGGAAAGGAAAAATCAACAGCTGGAGGATCACTGGAACCGGATGGGACGGTTTGAATCCTCCAATTCTGGAAGCTGGGAGTCTGCTGGTTGCTGCTGTGACAGGGATTCCCATGGATTCCCATCATCGCGTCTCGCGATGTTGTCCCAATTGATGGCAACGTCATGCAACGTCACAGGGGTCAAGGTGCACGAGAATGGATGCGAAGGCACCAAATCTCCATAGCCCACCTGGCCAGCATATATGGAGGGGCTCCGATCGATCAACTTCCGCATTTGCTGGGATATTTAAGATCTATCAAGATTTCTCCGCTATCTTTGTACTGACACACTACCAATACACTACGGTTGAAGTATTTTGCATTCAAATATGTACAGAAAGCGGATGTGAGTAAGAGTGGGTGTGTCTATGCATAAAATACATAGATATATATATATATATCTGTATAGAGCCATCCTGGAGTAGATTGAATATGGATGAATATGGACATTTCAAACTAAAACTCATAAAAACGGGATGACCTGGGCAACCTGGGTCCTGCTTGTTGCCTTGTTGCCTTGTTGCCCCAGTTCGGCCTACCGGAGAAGGTGGCCGACCTGGCCTGTTTGGTTGCAACCCCCAACTGGAAAATATGTTTGTAGATGTTGGAGATCATCATTCCAAGTAAGGGGACGAATATATGTATACATATATTTATACATATGTATGTGTGTATGCACGTTTAACATTACATAGCAACCCCCCAAAAGATTGAAAAGTAATTGATCACTATTTCAACTGGATGTGACGGTTCTATCTTTTTGGAGGGTTTATAAATATAAATGGATACAAATATGTATATATATACATTACTATATATAAACAATATTATATATAAACTAAAAGGCTTTATATGCATATATACTATATATACATATATATGATCATCATACAGTATACATATACCATATACTAGTTGTATATAGATCGTCTTGCAAATATCATATCATAAATCATAAATGTTAAATTAGTACGGTTACTATTGTATACATGTAATGTATAGTGTATGTTATAGCTATATATGATACAACATATGATCGTATATATTAAAAGTATTATATATGTACATATAAATATCATACATTCCTATTATATTGAATCTATCATATCTTAAATATATCATATAGACTGTATCTATCATTTATCAAATATTTTAGTTTGTATATAGATGCGTCACAATCTATAGTGTGTAAATATATATATATTATATACATATGTGTATATATATATATATATTATATGTATGTATATATATATTATATATATATATTGATATGTATATATATATATAGATAATTATGTATATTCATGTGTATAAATTGTGATAGTGTATATACGGTAAATAATGTATACACTATAATATGTACAACGGGCTGTCTGTGGTCCCAAAGAAGGGCCCCTTTTTTCCGACCCATCTCTCAAGCGCCCCCCAGACCGTCGTCAAAGCCGAGACGGCAAAGTACACACTGTCTTCGGCATTCCAACCCTCAAGCTGTCCTTAGTCATTGGGTTCCCTTGCCCAAAAACGTTTAAAGATGTTTATATAAAGTTTAAACGCTGGGTCAGTGTCCTTAGGAATTCTCGATTCGCAGTTTTTGTTGAAGAAAGGCTTCAAAAGGGTCCATGTTCGAGCGGAATTTCAGGAGCCTAAAATGAAGGTGCTGTACCATATAAGGTCATATCTTGTGGAGAAACTATTGATTTTCCACTGTGGTAGAAGATCTTGGGATCACAATCTTGCCAACAACCTCAGCTGTTTGACTGCTAGTTCCAAGATATGGAAGAACACCTTAGCTAACGATGGCCAATTGAGGAACGCCCGGGCACTTGACGTTGACATACAAAATATGATCAAACCATTCAAACGACTGTACAAGTACAAATTTTGTTCCGCTTTCAGTGTACTTTAATTATAATTGTGCACGTATATATATATATATACAGTCAATAGTTCACACAGCCAAGAGTTCTCAATGGCGCCTCAGTGCCCCATCTCCACCACTATCACCTGAGGCCCCGGCCATACACCACTATGGAGGAGAGGACATAGATCAACACCACCGAGGACAAGCGAAAGCTTCCAGCAATCTCGAACCAATTGCGACGTCGACCATCTTCCGTCCTCAGCTAGCAGGCGACCACAGGAAAGGCCTAGGTACTATGGAAAAAAAATCAGCCATCATGGATGTAATTTTTTGCCAACTGATATGGAACCGAAGTTAACTAGCAACCATTTTTTTTCATCTCAATCATCGCGGACTAGTTGAATTTAGGGTTCCCTCAGCTGAGCGATCTCGTAAACTTCAGCCTCACGGAAAGGACATCAACAAGTAAATTCCCATCGCTCACGGCATGTTGTACAAGTATGATGTATGGCAAATTAGGGGGGCTTTAAAATTTAGTAAAAGAATGTAAAAGGAAAATAAGGTATGTGCACAGGTATGACATTACCGTCAAAGGGGGTATCACTATTTGGGAAGGTCCCATTGCGAGCCTCATGTTCGTACAATTTCTGAAAGACAATGTCCTTCCCTTAAATGTGTCCTATTGCCAGAGTTTTTGCGGTGGCTCATCTATGTATAGCTGTGATGCACCAGCCTTTGCCAACACAAATCAATACCCTGATTGAAACCCTGATTGAAACCCTGGTGAAACATTCGGTCTGTTCATGTTGGGACCCACATAATCGGCAAAACGGATAAATTACCAAGTATCAAGCTACACGACCAAGGGCTCAGTCCAACCCAGGACCAGCAAACCTATGGTTTCTTAACAACTTAAGAGCCATGCTAAAATCGCAATGTGGTAAACCCAAGGCCAAAAACCTCCAATGTCGGAGTATACCACCAATTTCCGGTGAATAGTTTTGAATGGTTTACGGCATCGAGTTTCGCACATTGCCAGCCATTCTTGATTATTTGAACCTCATTATATAGATCCCATAAAATATCCTTCAAAATCTATTTTTGATGGTCCCATTCAAGCCCATTCCAACTCGCATTTTCACACACCCTTCAAAAACAGATCTTGCACCACCATGTACCACCTCTCAGGTGGGAGAAAATTACCCAACGCGGACAAGGAAGATCGAAGCAATAAAGCCCTTCTCGAGATCCAAACGCTTCAATCACAGGGTTTTTGGTCAGTGATCCCATCCAAGATGCAAACTGATGCTCCGCCGGCCCTTCACCTTGAAGAGCGCCACAAAGCTGGCACGGCGAAGCGCCGCCAAGGGCGCGGCCCTCGGGGACCATCCGGGCTATGCTTGTGACTTATGACAGGGGTATGATGGAAATGTCATGTCTGGGTGCCTTGGGTTTTTTGGTACATGTTTAACATGTTATAAGTCAAAAAAAACTGGGTGAAGTTGGAGATAGTGTGAGTTTTTTTTACTATGGGGATGTAACCCAAATAAATTGGGATCTGTTGGGACCCAATACAACTACGGTTCTATCAAGTTATGTTTGTATAATATATATAATATACCTGGTTGGTGGTTTCAACCCCTCTCAAAAATATTAGTCTGGTGGGATGATTCTTCCCAATATATGGGAAGATCAAAAATGTTACAAACCACCAACCAGATATATATATATATTATATCTGCGTATAAAGGGAACTGTACCCCGAAGTATTCATAAACCCCCAGTTCGGGATGTTTCAATGTTTTGAGGGATTTGGGGTTTACCCCATGACCAAGCACTTCGCTCTCAGAATTGATTTGAGCTAGGTTTGACAAGTGTAAAATTGCAGGAGTTTGGCTGCTGAAACAGCAATGGTTTTCTTTCTCGCCGATTTTCCTTTGGACAAACTTAGCGACACATTCATTTGGACAAACTGGAGCAATGTGGTAAGACCAATATTGACTCCCTTCTTTTCTTGGTCCGGTTTTTAATTACTGTTAAGTAGCTTTTCCAAAGGTGCATGGTTTATGGGTTTTAGTTTGTCTCATTTGTTTAAGCAGCTGGAACGTATATATGCAACTAGCATCTGTTTGATTGATAAACATGAATCCATCAACAAGGCTATTGATGTCCCAGAGTTCTTAACGGTTAACATGTGTTTGCTTGTAACCTATCAACCTTGGGATGTTACACAACATGTTTTACACCCACATCCTGCTACTAAGAGCAATGCACCTTTCAACCTTTTTCTGCATTTTTTAAAGGTTGCTACACCCTTTTTTCAGAGATCAAAAAATACTGAGTGCCCCCAACTCAACATTTGGGAATATGTTTCTAGGCAAATAAACCAACTTAGCTAACGACCTCAAACACCAACTTTGTAGGCTAAAACGGCTGATCTAAAATTCCTGGCTACTTGGTGGCTGGTAACTAGGTTAACTAGGATGTATGGTGATTATCACTGTTAGATGGGCAACCAATGTCGCATAGTTGTGAAGCACCAAATCTCATAAAGTAACCATGTTTCAGGGTGAAAATTCCATGGAATAACCATATTTTTGCCGGTGAAAAATTCCTATTGCCCTATTGTATTATATTGTATTTGGTGGCAGAACTACCCAACCCATTATTCATCCGTTTTGACCTAGTTTCCACAGCAACGGAATCTTGAGCGGCCAGTATCGCGAGTTTTTGATGGACTGGGGTGACTTGTGCCTCCTGCCACGAACAACATCGCTCTGCTCACATATCCATAGCATGTGTGTATATATATAATCCTGAAGGAGATGCAATACGGATTGTTTAAAGACATTCTGATTTTAGTCATGTTTTGATCACAATTCCGTACTGCTTACATGTGCATATATATATATATGTGTGTAAATGTTTGTATAGTTATATATACATATATATATATGTGTGTGTGTGCATGTGTGTGTGTGTCTCTCTCTCTCTCTCCATTGCCAGAGGATTTTCCGTGCATATATATATATATGTATATACATGTGTGTGTGTGTGCGTGCATGTTTGTAAAACGGAGAGCCGAGCATGCGTATATGCTGTACATGTCTGTGTGCGTGTAATATTGGGGAATATCTCTATGTAATATCTACATATTACTCAACATGTTACATATGTACAATTAATGTCAAAAAATGTGTGTGCGTGTATCTGTATCAAGCCATAATTGTGGGTTGATCAGCTGATCAGCTCTATTTTTACCATGGCAAACATTGAAGCCGCTTGTTTTCGTTGCTTACTTATATAGTCTATTGTCACCTGTTTTTGCCAAACAAGTGAAAGTGTACATTTTGGCGCTAGCATCTCTCTCTTTCTCTCTCTATTTGTATAGATGTGCGTATGTATGTATGTATGTATGTATGTATGTATGTATGTATGTATGTGTATGTATGTGTATGTATGTGTATGTATGTGTACGTATGTATGTGTATGTATATGTATGTATATGTATGTATATGTATGTATATGTATGTATATGTATGTATATGTATGTATATGTATGTATATGTATGTATGTGTATGTATGTGTATGTATATGTATGTATGTATGTATGTATGTATCTATGTATCTATGCATCTATGTATGTATGTATGTATCTATGTATGTATGTATGTATGTATGTGTGTGTGTATGTATGTATGTTATGTTATGTTATGTTATGTTATGTTATGTTATGTATGTGTATGTATGTATGGAGGTATGTATGTATGTATGCATGCATGCATGCATCTATCTATCTATCTATCGATCTATCTATCTATCTATGTATGTATGTATGTATGT